TGATTGGCCGATGTCAGACTTTGCGATTGGAGCGATTTGGCGCCAATTGCAGGAGCGACGGGCCGTGATGTGCCATTGGCCGTTGTGGCAGGGAGCAATCAATCGCTGCCACACCCCTTCGATCAATACCCTTGACTGACGTGGCAACGATTGATTTTGCACCAATCGCTCCTGCAATTGGTGCAAAATCGCCCCAATCGCAAAGTCTGACATCGGCCACTGATTAGGCCACTCAGCCGTAAGTTCAAGTGTGGGTTCCGTAGGGTTTACGCAATTTCACACGGTTTGAATGGGGTTTCTCGAAATTTCCCATTGTCCCAACGGTTTAAACATCACATCTTGGCTGAAATAATATTTCGAATTGCTAAGTTCCAGTGTGAGGATCTGTTCGTCCACATCCAAATAATTTTGGGTCTAAGTTGGTGCCCATACCTTTGCTAAGCAGCTAGCAGTCAATCACTGTTGCTCTTCACATTTTTTGCATATGGGTTTACAATCACCAATTCATTTGCTGTGTTGTTTTCCTAGGAAGTTGTGTCGCAGCGTTTGGATTGTTGATTTTTTTAATGCTTTTTGTAGTTATTCCGTGCTTCAAAATACTCATAACCAAAAAGTCGTGGCCGTGGAAGCGCGCATTTCAGGTCGTTGTTGTAGTTGCGTGAATTCAAAGTTTCGTCGTAGTTATCGGAGATGAAAGCGCGCATTTCAGGTCATGCCTGCTGAATCGTCTTCTAGCGAGGACAACTTGATTCAGTGCTATAACAAAGGTTGCGGGCAGAAGTTCGACCCGAACGACAATAACCCAGGTACTTTTTTCTTGCGAACTCTGCCCTCTCTTTCATGTAGTAAACAGATTTTCTTTCTTCCAGACTCATGTTTATATCACCCCGGTCCGCCGTACTTCCACGATGCTTACAAGATATGGAACTGTTGCAATAAAAAAAGCACTGACTTCGGTACCTGGCTCAACTTTCCGGGATGTACTCGTGGGAAGCATAATGGGGAAAAACCTGCTGACATAGTGAAAGTGGCCGCTGTGAAGGAGATACGGCCAGAAAAGGTGAGTCTACCCATTCTAGTTTTGTCGTCTTTTGGGAAATATACTTGTTTCTGGTCTCTTGATAATGCTCAAATCTCTTCTTCTTCACGTTTGTAAGCATGCCAGCTGAGCCTCTTGTATTCATTTCGAAATATTAAGTCTCATGCCTTATAAATTCAGTACCAAAAATGTACGGGGAAGGGACACACGACAACAAACTTATG